AACCTCTTGCCAAACCTTACACCTACCAGGGCCCACATAGGAGACCTCTGCTGTCTCTATTGTGCTGGCCACACCCTGTAGGTCCCATGAATGGACATGCAAATTGGAGCCACTCCAGGCTGTGTGATGCTAAGCAGGGTGGGTGAGCAGCCCTGATTTGGGTCAGGGAGGCAGTGCTTCTCAGAGGCCTAGACACCTTGCTAGAGTCAGCCCCCCTGAGGGGTAGATTCTTCATTGCTTATCACTTTTTTTTTTTTCCCTGAAAGAGATTTTTGCCACAAGGCATATGTACTTGCCAGAGAGACAGAGAGACAGAAAGACAGAAAGTAAGAAATCACTCCTCAGAGGAGATACCCATGCCGGAATCCCTTCTCCTCCATTCTCCTCTTGGGATTTTGAGCATGCACGCACATGCGCCTGGCGTGAGTTTTAAGCCGCAGGGTCCAGGACTTGAACTGTAGTCGACTACATGGGAGTCCAGAAATGTAACCATTGCACTATCTGCTGGTCCCACGCTCTATCACTTCTAAGCTTAGCCTGGCTCCCCAAGCACATATTTGTTTAATGGGGGCTGTGGTGCTCTGTGAGAATGACCCATGTACGGGCGTACCAGGTTCATGTCCAGAGAGCTCCCTGAACACACCAAGCACACGCTAGCCCATGATCATGGCATCGAGACCCTGTTGGGGTGCTCTCTCTCTTTCTCTCACTCATGGAAGAAATAAATCAACTTTAAAAAGCACAGTGCATGAATGGATGGATTAATGGGCACCTGTGTGGACAGATGATTAAATTTCTGACCAGCACAAAAGGGAGGTCCCTGTGACCAGTAGATGAAATGATTCCTGCAAAGTGGTTGTGACATGCTTGGTGCAGTCAGCCTTTCATGGATGGAGGCTGTGAATGACACTCCTCGAGGCTGATTCCAAGTGTGCAGATATAGCTCCTAAGAGTCCACCGCGGCCTGGCCTCAGAGCGGGAGTGGGGTGCTTAGTACTTTGCGTAGGTTTGACTTAAAAACAAGATCTCTAATGTGGCAACAAGGCAATGAAACTGGGCTGTGGTGTCTGATTAAAGCAATTACGACCTCCACAGCACCCACGTGCCCCGGCCTCTGGAAAACAGGCCTGCCCTGAGGTAGAAGGGGTTCACTGTGCACAGGCCCTTCCCTACCAGCCTGGACTATCAATCCCGCTCCAACTCAGAAAACATGCAGTGTCAGCTCGGTGTCGCCTTCAGCCACTGTGATCGGGGTCTGCCCCAGTATCATCACGAGCAAACACAGAGGAAGGCGCTGGCCTTGGGCAGCTGTGGCCTCCCTGCAGTCTGCCTGGGAGTTCCCTCCAGAATATGCCCAGCCATCACCCACACTGCTCCTGGTAGGTTGCACGGCCCAGCAGCACCCGGCCCCTGGTGGTATTAGCAAGCAGTCCCCAGTCCAATGGCATCTCAGAGGAGATAAGGTCATCCAGGAGGAGCAGGAACCCATAAGGAAGAAAATTTCCACTCTGAGCTTCTGAATTATTTATGCTTGGTTGGTACAAAGCTCAGCTTTGATGACTGAAAGAACCAGGGCATGGCCACTGGGCTGGCTAGAAGCAGGGGGCAGCGCGGGGTCAGGCAGACCTGGGTTCCACTCCTGCTCTGCCTCTCCTGGCTGATGCCCTCAGTCAGCCCCACGGCCTCCTCTAGAATATCCTACCTCTATAGGACACTGACCCGGAAAGCACTTTAGCGAGACCAGTCTGGGAGAGGCCAGCGAGGTGAGCCATGGTGACAGGCTCTTGGCTGGCCATGCTTCTCCTGAGCTGGCTCTCCCAGGACCAGGCCTCCTGGCCCTCAGGAACCCCTGGACAAAGTTAAGGAAGACTGAGAGGCTCTGGCTGTTAAGCCTCACTTTGGGGGCAACCACAATATAGTGCACTCCTCCCCCCAACCACCCTGGATCTGGGAGCGAATGCTGTGTCTTTCTCTCTGTCTGCCCACCCTATGCCTGTCCCTCTGAGCCAAGCTGGTCCTCCAGTGTCCTCTCAGAAGGGCCTCTACGCAAGTCGGCTTTGGTTAAAGAGCTGGGCAGAAAGGGTAGTCCATAGGCTCTTGTCATACTTTTTACATACTTTTCCCACACTAAAGAGCTCCAGGGCCGCTGTAACTCGAGACCCCTGGCCCTGGGACTGTCTCCATTAAAGGTCTGGGCAGCTCCTGAGGATGCGACCTTGAGCTGTGATGCTGTTCTGGGAAACAAGGAAGACTGTGAACAATGCATTCCACCTGCTGGAACATTCTACCCTGTGCTTCCTGCGATTAAAATGACGTTGATGTGGGTACATGTCGGGTTCAGAGGAAAGTGACTCAAGATGTGAAATTGCGACTGCTTCATCCTGATGGGTCCTTGGGGAGGCGAGGACTGCAAAGGCTTAGGACTAAGAGAGTGGTCCAAGTGGGCCGCCAGGCGGGAAGTGAGTGCAGGACAGATGCTTCCTCAAGGCCCTCGCAGTGTAGCTCAGGCCAGTGTAGACAACTCTGAGGAGAGGGCTCCCTCAGGGACGCCGTGGCCTCGGAGCAGCAGAGGAGGTCCTGCTGAGTGCAGGCGTTGCTCTTCTCACCGTAGCTGAGAACTGCACGAGGCTCTTCTCCAGGCTGTGTCTCAGGGCAGGACTGAGGACATGCACACCCATGAGTCCTGTCTTCCAGAGAGCCCCACCGTGGCTCCTCCCAGGAGAGACTGCCATTCCCACCAAGATGCCCCCTGTTCTGGTCCTTTTTGCCCCAGAAGTCAGAGAGGGTTCCTGTGCATGACCCTTCCCCCAAATCCTGAGCAGGCTGGTGGGGTGAAGAGTTGGAAGTTGGACTCTGAAGATGCATCTGGCACCACACACAAAGTTGGTGCTGACGGCAGAGGAGCCTCTCTTGTTGAGCTCCTTGGTGTAGACGGTGTGCTGGAAGCATTCACTCACCTGCCCACCCACACTCAGAGAGAGCCACAGTCCCCAGATTCCCTGGAAAATACTGGGTTCTATAGTTCAAATTATAGGGAAAAGACTCCGTAGCCTCCTTCCTATGGACCTCATGGGCTCTTTCAGGCTCAATGACTGGAAAAATGTCATCTAATTCAGTTTGACAGCCCCAAAGAGCAGGTGGGGCCTGGCTTTTCATGCTCTTGGTAGAGCCAGAAGCACAGAATGCTGGAGGCAGCAGCCCCGGTCACACAGTGGGCTCTCAGAGGCCAGGCTGGAAGGCCCTACGTTGTGCGCTCACCGTAAGGTCCTCTCTGTGATAGCAAGACCTCAACCCCCTCATCTGCTCGTCCCCATGCTGTGTGATTCCTGAGAAGACCCCCTAGTTGGCCCTGTTCTTGGGCCCTTGGTTTGGGTCCCTGAGACAGAATTCCCTCTGTCCAGCTCCTCACCCTCCAGAGGGATCTCAGCCCTCCTTCAGGGAGCTAGCTGCTAACCTGCCATCTCTCTATGGAGTGTCCACAGCCCCTCACTCAGCTTGGATAAATTGTGCTTCTGACACCCTGTGAAAGCCAGGAGGTGGGAAGATGGGCGTGATGAGGTGGGAGAGGTGGCCCATGGGTCTCACTGTGGTCATCTGGCCTTTTGAAAGGAGCAGCTTCCAGATTCTCCAGAAAGGAAAGCCTTATCTTCTTTTCTAGAATCTTCCCAGTTCTGGCCAGACTCTCCTTCCTGGTCCTGTGGCCGATGGTTTTCCTCCTCCCTAGTGGGAGAGGGACCCAGGGCCGAGGTGCTGACACACCCAGTACTGGCCTCAGATGGGGAGCAGTGGCAGGGGGTTAAGCTTGTTCCGGTACAGGATTGTTACTGTGGATTTAGGTTCACCTGTGGGCCCACCCACAGGCAGGCTTCTCCTGAGCCCATTCTGACACTTGGTTTTCCCTCTGTTCTACCACATGCCTGGAGCCAAGGCTTTCATTTGTCATCCAAACTGTTAAATTAGCTCGGGCTGCTAACAAAGTACCCCAAACTGAGCAGCTTAAACAACGGAAATGATTGTTTCAGAGTTCTGGAAGCCAGAAGTCCAAGGCCTAGGCGTAGCACACCGGCTACTTCTGGGCCTTTCTCTTCACTTGTAGACGTGTCTTCTCCCTCTCTGTGTCTGTATTCTCATCTCTTCTCCTCAGGACACCAGTTGGGCTGGATTACAACCCATTCACATGGCCTCATTTTAACTTTCCTATCCCCAAATACAGTGAACTCCAGAGTGTTGGGGGTCCAGGACTCCAGTAGATTTTGGAGGATTCAGCCCATAACTCTCATTTTCCAACTTGATAACAAACTTCCAGGCACAGCTGCAGGAGGTGTGGGAGGTGGTGCATGCAGGGCCAGCATGTCTAAATGACACTGTCTGGAACAGCCCGGCAACCACAGAGGGCCCTCTGCTTTCAACTCCTACAATAAAGTCACAGCCTGGTCCTTCTGCCTCCACAAAGGGACAGAGATACGTGTGGTTCCCACATTTGCCACATCTTCTCTATTTTGGACCCCATCAATCCATTTTCTTCCTTTTAGTCTCAGAATAAAAGAGTTCCACATGAAACATTTTCTGTACTCACAAGGAAATCTCAGGAACCAGGAGCTTTCCTCCTGCACAGGCATTTTATGTAATTCCCCCAAGTGACACGGGCCATCCCAGGGCTTGAAGGGTGCAGTGAGGAGAGAGGAAGGTCTCCCAAGGTTGCCCAACATTCCCCCATACAAACTGGCTTTAATTTACTTCATATTAACTACTGGGTGTGGTGAGAAAGAGAAATGATGTAAGTAGAAATGCTATTAGTGTTTCCTTAGCATATTTAACTGCATCCCATTAATCATTCCATCTCACACAAAAGCATGAAGAGCCAAGTTGTACCGTTGGTGCTAACCCTGCCAATCTACTGCTGGATCATGGTGCTAGAAGACAGAAATGATAACTAAGTGGAATCTTACCAACTGCTTGTGTGTGTGTGTGTGTGTGTGTGTGTGTGTGTGTGTGTGTGTGTGGAGGGGGTAGGTGTGCTTGCCAGAATCCTCTCTCTGTCTGTCTCTCGCTTCCTCTTGGCATGGATGTGGGTCTCCATCCACTTCTTGATGAACTTTA